CGGTGAGATTTGAACCGCTGACCTGCTGATCTAGCAGTAGCCTGCAGTGCTGCATTTAACCACTGCGCCACCTTGGCAATGGGTGGAAACTAATCAAGGAGAGAAGCAACTTAGAACCGCGGAGAAATTTCCTGACAGTTAGAACAATTGATCAGTGGAACGACTTGCCTCCAGAAGTTGTGAATGCCCCAACACTGGAAGTCTTTAAGAAGAAGATGGCTAGCCATTTGTCTGAAACGGTATAGGGTTTCCTGTCTAGATAGGGGGTTGGACTAGAAGACCTCCAAGGTCCCTTCCAATTCTGCTATTGTATTGTATTGTAATACATATATAATCTCTCATTTCAGAGCTACTGAGCCTAATTTTTTCCGTGTTCCAACTCCCACCTAGTGTTTCCAACCATTGATAAAATCTACTCTCTAAAATCTGAATCGCAACTTGAATGTTGTACTTTATGCTTTTCTTCCTTTCGCTTCGTGTTTCAGGTCTTTGGTGAAAACTGGTCAGGATGGGAAACTTCCATGAATTACTGGATCATGAAGTCACTCTGGCATTTATGAGATATGGAACCATTGTTGTATTGAAAATGATGCTCATGAGCACCATCACAGCTTTCTTCCGAATGAAGAAAAAGGTGAGAGACGAAAGTTGGAGTTATGAAAAAAAACAGTGTGTGGAGTGAGACTTGTGAGCACAACACTTTGCATGATAAGCCAGGATTGATGGGAGTTGTGCTTTCAAGTCTGAAACGCTCCAGGTTAGTTCATACAGGCTAAACTATCAAATCTTTGGGTTTGTAATTTATTATGGACTAACATTATATACAAACCAGGCCTCTGGGTTTGTTTTTTTTTTAAAAAAGCATCATTCAAAATACCATAGATTTACCGCCACAGTTGAATTATGACTCTCAGAGAGTGTAACATAAATGTAATAATGTTAAAATAACTAAAATAAGTTAAGATAAATCAAGGGAAGAGCCAAGGTGGCGCAGTGGTTAAATGCAGCACTGCAGGCTACT